CCAGCTTGTGTGCAGTTGACTTTGTGACATCAAACAGTGTGCTGTGCAGTCTCGCGCAGGTCCACCACGATTCTGTATGTTATCTCCCTAATCACCTGCATGCTTATACTGCAACCAGCACAGAGGCGACAGATGCAGTCAACACAGATTGCCATGGAGGTGTTACAGCATAACTTACACCATCCAGCAGGAGTAAGTTACCAGTAGATATTATCATTGCAACTGGTGATAATACCATACAGAATTAGGACTTGCAGCGAGATCCCAAAAGACACCTATGATGTTGGCATCACAAGGCATATTAGAGCCAGGGCTGGCTAGTATTCCCACAGGAAGAGACCCATCCAAGCGATTTTCAACAAGGAACAGAGCCCACAGGAACATCAACCGGCCACAAAGAAAAAGCAGGCACCGAGAGAAGTCAAGCTGCCCCCCACTGGTATCGCTGAGGAGGGGCGTTGTTTACATAAGTTGCGAGCCTTACACAACGGGAAGCGGAGTTCAACACGCAGATAAGGGATTTGGAAAGCAGGGCAAGATCCAACCCAGCAAATGCATGGACTAGGTCGCCCCCCAGCCACCCGCTCCTTCCCCCGGGCCAGCCCCCGAGCATGGCTCCATCACAAAGTCGAGGCAAAGGATCGTGGGGTGAAGGCGCCTGTGCTTGAGCCCGGCCCGCTCCAGGATCCCACGGCACAGCGAAGTGCTTCAAAACACCCAACTCCCCACCCCCCCAACACCGCCAGGGCAATGCTGAGCCGTGATGGCAGAAATCCCGCGGCACATGACATGCCCACCGCCGTCCGTCAAGCGCAGGTGCCCGAGGCTGTGGCGTGCCAGGCAGAGGGAGGCACCACTCTCTGCCGGCACCCCTGGACGGCACCCCAGCAGCCCGCGACGCCCCCTACACCTACCCCACCCCCCGCCATCAGTGGCACCCCGAGGAACAGGAGGGAGCACCAGGCAACTTACCGCAGTCTGCGCACAGGATCCTGCCCACATCCTTCTTGAGGTTCTTGCCGCTGGTGTCCAAGGGGGCGAAGGAGGTCTTGAAAACCAGGGGCTTCTCCGTGGGCTCCAGGAAGAAGATGTAGCGGTGGTTCCTCTTCACTTTGAAGCAGGGCGCCTTGGAGCCCGCGCTGCCCACGCTGATGAGCTGCTCGCGCTGCAGCCCCCCGCTGTTGAGGGGCCACAGGTCTAAGACCTTCACCAGGACCCCCCCGTTGGAGCCGGGGGGATCTCTGCCGCTGCCGTTACCGGCGGGGGGGGACACCGACTGCACCTTGCCCTCCAGGACCACGGCCGCAGTGTACGCCTGGTCCTGCACCGACTTGAGGCTGGGGGAGTAGCAGGCGAGAGACACCCCGAAGAGCAGCATGGAGAAGCCGGGGGTCGGATCGTGCCTCATGCCGCCGGCTGCTCGTCCCGCTGCTGCTGCTGCTGCTGCTGCTGCTGTCCGGGCTGCGGGGCTGCGGCTACGACGGCCGCGGCTCGGGGGGCGCAGCGGGG